CGTGTATATATATATATATATATATATTTTTTTTTTTTTAAACAAAATAAGAATGAAGGTTTTTCAAATTATATATATATATATGCTGTTAGTGTTAGCTGATATGTATCAGCTTTAATGCACTTATCAAAATAAAAAAAGCAGTCAAATGTCAAAAGTTTCAAAAAATGCATCATTTAACTTACAATCTGCATTTAATATGCATTTGATGCAATTTGCACTTTACAAAGTAGGCTAAATAAAGCTTATTTTCCACAAATCTGTAATTGTCTGTTTGTATGCAGTAAAACGCCCACAGATGCAGCAGAAAACATCAGGCTCATGTTTGCATTTTCTTCTGTCACTAGCCATAATTCTGACCATGCAATCAGGATTAGGCATCAAATAATGTCATATATGTGAAAATGGCTGAGAATTGAACAGATAGTTGTGATCTGGCTCAGATTCAGACAGGAATCGTGTGTTTGTGGTGTTTTTCTGCTGATTAAGAGAGAATACGAGACTTCTTCACTGCACAAATGCTTGTCGAAAGCAAAAATGCGACAAAATGCACATATTTTGTGTGAAAGTGTGATGTGCTCCAGCAAAACAGACACTATTTTTGGAACCAGCAGCACACAGTTAGTATTGGATTTCATTCAGCAGATATGATGCAGCGCCGTGTGATCAGTTATCTGTGGAGCTATGATTGTGATATTATCAAAAGCAAATACCTGAGGTGAACTTACCTGGCCTCGCAAAACTTCTTACTGTTGCTGGGTCTGTCCTGGTTTCTGCGGTTACGAAACCAGGTCTCAACTTGTCTAGGAGTCAGGTTGCACTGGTTAACCAGGCTGGAGATCTCACTCTAGATGGAATAATGCAACAGCATGAGTTATTATTTGACAATGAGCAATAATATTCCAGGTTAAATACAATAGGTCTAATAACGGCATGTGTGATAGTGATTACCACAGACTATTAATCACTCATGCCTGACCATGTTAAGAAAATAAACTGCCACTTTACACGTTTTTACTAGTTTCTTAACTATCCTTTTCCCAAATAATCCTCATTACAAAGACACATAAAAACACAAACACACACACATTTGAAAATACAGCGAAAAATATATACACAACTGAAAAATTATATAATTCAATTATTAATTATTATTATAATTATTATATCATTAAAGTAGTTAATAAAAATATAAAATAATTAAATTATTTATTAATAATTACTATAAATTTAAAATAATATAAATACATTATTAATTAAATTTAAATATTGGATTTATTATTATTACTATTATTGATAATTTAATTAAAGTATTAATTTAATCATCAAATATTTATATATAAAAAAATATATGAATGAACAATTTGTATATGAAACATATGAAACAATTGTATTAATTTATAAAAGGTGTAAAAGGTGAGTCGCATAAAAAGCTTATTTTTTACTTATTTTTGACTTAGGTAACTGTTTTGTTTTTATATTTTTTGTAAAGATTCAATGTAATAGTAAAAGTGCTGCATTAAAAAATAAGCTTCAGCCTAAACCTTTTTCTGTTATGTTTATTCAGTTTTCATTTTAATTTTAGGTAGTTTTAGTAATTTTGTTATGTGCTTTTGTCATTTTTATAATTTTTTATATATTTCAATGTAGCTTTAATGTATTTTTATTTCAGTATTAGTTTTAATTTCCAACTTATACTTATTTCATTCCGTTACCAAGGCAACATTTCTAATTTTATTATGTTTTACATCTAATATTTAGCTTTATTTCGATTACTAATAGTTTTAGTTAACAATAACAACACTGTGCCAAAAAAAAATATTTTTTCCATTGGCCATAAATATAGAATTTAATGAATAAAATAAAAAGGTAAAATAAGCTTCTTCTTCAGCCTACACCTTTTTCAGTTATGTAAAAATTATTATGAATTATTATGGAATTGCGTATGAGAACCAAAATAAACCAAATCTTGATACACGAGAATACCAGTAAGATTCATTACTATCTGTAAAGCCTATTTAGATGGAGCAAACTCATCCATATAAATTATGTAAATCATAACCAGAAATTCATCTGCCAAGAAAAACGAGGACATTAAAATAATGAAATGAACTCCAGAAAGAGACGCCAGCAGGGACACAATGGTTCCACGTCCGAAAGAAATGTCAACACTATCAGGTTCCTCACAACACACTGTTGTGTGGCTTCCTCCTGCAGTATGAAATATACATGCATATTTCCTTTCCTTACTGCCTTTATAGGCTTCATATGAACTGAATTCATTTCAGATGAAGTCGATTTTAGATCTCACCTATAAAAACTGACTTTTATGTATTTGGGCTGATTCAGTCATATTAAATCATATTTTTGACTTGAATAACCAGTTCAATTAGATCACCTGTACCATTTATTCAGTGTCATCCTGCAATGCATTTTTTTTGCATTTTGAATCAAGCTTCATTAATCAGGGAGCAGTAACGATCCAGAACAATTACAGACTTCTGGGTTTCCAGTATGTCTGTTAAAACCGCACTCGCTCTCTTCCCGTATGTGGTTAGACATCCACACACTCATTTGCAAAGCATTATGGGCATTTTCCCGGAGAGTAAGATGCAAAACAACAACTGTTGGAGAATGATCTCTCAGTGTATGTTTGCATAAATGTATGCAGATTCATACGTGTTTAATGTGTGTTTGTACGGGTGCAGGTGCAGGTGTGAGTTTACTTCAGGGACAAATCTGGCCCCAGATATTTGTGGATGTGTTCAAAGGGAAAAATGATTCTTAAATTCTAATAGATGGGGCCAAAACGATGGGTTTTATTTTAGCATTATTTATACACTTTTATAGTATTATTATATATACATAGTATAGTTGTTTATAGTATTATACGTTTATATTATAGTATTTATTAATATTTTTATTTATTTTTATTCAGTTTTCATTTAATTTTAGTTAGTTTTAATAATTTAATGTGCTTTTGTCAATTTTATTATTTTTATATATTTCACTGTAGCTTTTATTTATTTTTATTTCAGTTTGATTTTAATTTTAGTTCGTTTTAGTCATTTTGTTATGTGCTTTTGTCATTTTTATTATTTTATACATTTCAATTTAGCTTTAATTTATTTTTATTTCAGTTTTAGGTTTAGTAATTGCTTTTTTATTTATTTGTATCACTTCAACTTCAACTTATTTCAGTGCATTTCCAAGGCAAATTTCTAATTCTCATTAAGTTTTTCATCTAATATTTAGCTTTATTTAAATAATTGAAAATGATTTTTAATAGTTTAGTTTCAGTTAACTATAACAACACTGGGCCGAAAATGTTTTTCATTGGCTGATGCCAACAAATGGCATATACTAATAATAATAATATATTTTAAATAAATAAATAAATATAATATAATATGATATAATATATTATAAAACAATATATTTTAATAAAATAATAAAATATTTTATTTGCATTTCATCTTTATAATACTCAAAGTCTACGGTATGTTCTCATTAGATTGCTAGGTGTGTGTGTGTGTGTGTGTACTAACCTGCGTCGGCTGTCTGCTGCTTTTAGTGTAAAACACCTCCAAATTTGGGACAGGAGTGACTTTCAAACAAACTCGATCTTTCACTCCTAAAACTCTGCTGAGAGGAAACGCCACACGTCTGCATGAGAGAGAGAGAGAGAGAGAGAGGACATAAAGGATTCAGGATTCATCAATGTCTTTTTGTTACTAAATGAGACCTTTATTCACAGAAAATCAGAAGAGCATGCATTGCTCACAGGTCACTCAGGAGGAGCTTGTACATTTAAATGCAATTATGATTGTTGTTTAATGTGTAATATTACCTATACAAACACTCTTATTGTATATGAATATGTTTGCACTGGTTGGACTATTATTAGACGTGGAAACATGATCCGGGATCAATCGTGGGTGAAAGGGGTTGCAGCATCAGCTGACATGACAGGCTCTTTGTGTTGCTATAGAGATCAGTTACTGTAGCAACCGACACACACACACACACACACACACACATACACACACACTCTTGCACACTCACACACAAAAACACACATACTCACACATACACACACACACACACACATACACACACCCTCTTGCACACTCACACACAAACACACACATACTCACACATACACACACACACACACACATACACACACCCTCTTGCACACTCACACACAAACACACACATACTCACACATACACACACACACACACACATACACACACCCTCTTGCACACTCACACACAAACACACACATACTCACACATACACACACACACACACACATACACACTCACACTCACACTCACACACACTCACACAAGTGTGTGAATACACAGAAACACACACCTGCTAGTCGCGCCATCACGCACAAAGAAGTTACACCACAGCGGAGATACAGCAGATTCAGGTATGCATACTAAACATTCAAGCACACATGCATGAGAGCTTTGTTAGATTTGTTAGCAGTACGTCCCACGCACTGGCTAGTGTTGCATTTTTTTAAATGGTTTTAAGCATGTGGCACAAATTTTTTTTTTTTAAATATGCACATCTGATGGGCAAAAAAAAAACTAAATGAGGGTGCTCAACTATTAAAAACAATAAGAAAAAAGAAAGGTTGGCACACCACAGCTCCAAATATGCAAAACTGTTTATTTCATGTTCTAGCCACAGGTGACATTTCGAGCCATTTTTAAGCATGTTGCACAAATTGTCCTGCTAACAAATTATTTTATTTTATTTTATTATTTAGTAATGGTGTCAGATGGCAAACCAGGGTATTTTGATATATAGTGTGATGATTCAGATCATCACAGATTCAGGTATTCAAGGACAAAACCTAAGGAAATCTAACAATACAATAATAATAATAATAATATATTAACTATAATTATTGTTATTATTATTCAAAATATTTTTGTTTATTATTTAAAATATAAAAATCAAACAAATTAATAAAGAAATATATTGCTATTCCAATAGTAATTTTGTACTGTAAAAATAAATTAATATTAATAATAATAACAACAGTGAATTTATTATTATTATTATTATTATTCAGATCATATTTTTATTGTATTATTATTTTAAAATGGAACGAATCAAAGAAACATTACTCTTGCTATAATAATATTGTACTGTAAAATAAAAAGTGGCATTTAATAGTAACAATAATTTACATTCATTATTATTATTAGTTTTATTATTATTATTGAACATAATAATTTTATTATTAACATTTTTATTAAATAATCATTTTTTATTATTTTAATTATTTAAATATTTTAGAAAAAATTAAACATCAATAAAAAATATATTTGTATTGGAATAATAATATTGTACTTTAAAATATAAAAATTTGTATTTATTATTATTTATTTTTTTATAATAATGGATCAAAATATGGAAAATATGGAAATGCATAAAAATATAGGGGGGGGGGGGATCACATCCCTGCTCAAAGAATGTCCAAAAAAATGCAGTGATACTGTGGTACTTTTTCTAATTTAACTCATATTCTGCTATTAATTCAGGTCAAACCTGGTTAAATTAAATTTAAAGCCCTCAGGACTTGATAAAGTCATCAGTCACCTCTCAAAAGCGTAACGAAGCATGATGAATCCCAGAGTTAGAAGCAGAGCCAGGAGCAGATCCCGCGGGAGAGGACGCCGAGAGCCCTCCATCTTCTCCAGATCCTCCCAGCTGATTCCCGGAGGAAGCCAGTATTCCTGCTTCCAGAGCCACTGACTGAGCTGCTCCATCCTTCAGCCGGGGGAACTGAGGCAAAAATAATAATAATAATAATAATTATGCAGCATTTCAATTACTAGGGATGTACTCAATTAAAGGGATATTTCACCTCCAGTTGCTGGTCCCCATTGACTTTCATAGTATGGAAAAAAAAACACTATGCAAGTCAATGGGGACCAGCAAATAAAGGTGAACTATTCCTTTAATGGAAAAACTGAGCATAACAAACAGCACTGTGCTGATACTACGGTACAGTGATGCTTTCAGATGACTGCACCAGCGATTACCATGTTTAAGGACCACATACTGTTCCCACACTTTAGTCCTGACCAATGGATTTCCATGTCTTTTCCATGACCTTTCCAATCATTCAGGATTACTGGATAAGGATTTTTTTTTTTTTTATAATTTTACAGAGATTGGGGAGTATTTTCAGGCTCCAATCTTTTGAAATAATTGAATTATTATATTTATTAGTATATAAATCTTTACAATAAGACCCTCAACAGGTAGGCTGATGTTTCACACTGTATTTGTTTGTATAGTCTACAATATTTTAAATGCAGATTTTTGCATATATCAAATAGTACATAAGACCCCTAAATACTTGTGAGAGACCCCCTTCATAAATATAAAGGCAGCTGTATATTTTTATAAGTGAAAATGCATTTATACTGTGTGAGGAAATAATTAAATGTAATATTATTAAGACAATTAAATCAAATAGTTGTTAAATAACAGGCTTTTATTATACAAATAAAAAAATATATATATATTTTAGAAATATTATATAATATAAACCAGGGTGAAAAATATCCTCTGGAAAATATTTACATTTTTAAATGAATTTGAGATTAAGAATTCCTTAAATGTATTTTTTCAACAAAGATTTTTACTTAAGAAAAATATTTAGAAAAAAAAAAAAAGATTTCTAAACTGATTATTAATATGAATATTACATTTTGTGAACTGTGAATGTAAACGTAAAAGCAAATGTTAAAATCTATTTCAATGATATTTTAAGAGCACACATTAACTTTGACAGCCCTAAAAACATTTTGCAATCAATCAATCAATCAATAAAACGAAATTTTAACCCCAGTTTGAAAACCTCAATTAGACAATGAGATATGCTAAAGAAAACACAAACACATGTATCTGATGTACCATGAGAAAGGTCATCATATCCATCAGATATGATGGATATCTTTGCACACGTAATGTCAGTTATCTGGCACACCTGCCTGAAACTCACCTGACCGACAGATGACTGCTGATATCAGCTAAAACAAGGAGACCTTCTTGCTTTACGAGAAATAAACAATCTTCAGCACGTTTAGAGTCACGAGACACATTCATAACATCATGCATTACAAATCAACAAATCCTACAGGGAAATGACTGATACCTGCTTATGTCCTCCGCTGGATGATGATGAGGATGATGATGATGATGTATGATGCGTGCAGTTCTGATCAGCGGATTTTACGCAAATTAATTCCTATGGAAATTTGCATCCAGAATCTTGAATCGCCATGCAAAAAAAACACGACACTAAAAAATATTAAAATAATCTTCAAGCGACATTCGCTGTAGCCTGCCCTTGGTAGCGTTGCGTTAATTTATTTAGAATTAAATATCTAATAAAAATAAAACGGAAGAACCGAATCCTTCAGATGAATCAGATGAATGTGAAGAATAAATACTGAGGTTCGTGATAAAAGTGAGATCGTCTGCTCTTTACGAGAGACTGGTGTCTGTCTGTGGGTGTGTCGAGACGCCTATTGGTCCAGAAGATGATGCTCGGAAGTCCGAGTCGTTTAGGTGATTCGGTTCTTTTGAACGGCTCTTTGACGGCTGATTCAATTATTTGTTTCATCTTACACAAACGTGAGCTAAGAATAGGTAGAAATGGTGTCGGTTTAGTGTTAGGTTGTAATTAGGTTTGTCGTTATGTCATAAAAAACATTGTTTTTTTTTAATCTCATTGTGGTTGATTGTTTTCATACAAGAAAAAATACATACGGGATTCACAGCCACTAAATATAGTCTTTGCGTCATTCAGCTTGTTTATATTGTTACCCAGTAGCAATAATTAAGCTTATTTATAATAAATTCATAATCTGAAAAAGATCTAATGATAACTAACGAGTTCGTTTCTGAGGGGCGCAATTTGCGATTCATTTCAACCGATTCATTAAAAGGAACCGGTTCGTTTGCGAATCGGACAAAGCTTTCCATCAACTGTATTAAATACAGTACAAATAGACATAATTCTTATATAAATTCTATAAGAAAAGAAGCAAACTTACCTGTTAGTATTCTGTTTCCACTCCCTATAAACTGATTTGATGAGTTTACCATGAAAGTACAGCGCCGCAGCTAAGAACACACAAGATTTTATAACAGTCAGCATAAACAAGACAAATATAACAAACATAATCAAAAACTGTGGCATTAGCATGTTTTTTCATATGACATGTTAAAACAGACAGCATGAACGAGACAAATATAACAAAAACTGTGGTTTTAGCGTGTTTTGGACATGACACAGGCTATTAGAAAAGATAAACAAGTTCTAACAATCAAAAATCACAGGGTTTTTTTCATGTCCAAAACATGCTAATACAACAGTGTTTGATTATATTTGTTAAATTTGTCTTGTTTATGCTAATATATCATGTCCAAAAACATGCTAATATCACAGTTAGCATTTGGACATGAGTAGACAGCATAACAGTCATCAGCATAAACAAGACAAACTTTAAAAAAAAAAAAAAAAAAACACTGTGGTATTAGCATGTTTTTGGACATGAGTAGAGCAGTCAACAGCATAAACAAGACAACTATAACAAACAATGAAAAAAACTGTGGTGTTAGTATGTTTTTGGACAATATATACTATAACCAGCATATGCAACAGCATATATGTTTTGACGCTGGGATGCTGGGATGCTGGTCCTTTGCTGGTTTAAACTGGTCCTTTGTTGGTTTAAGCTAGTCCTTTGCTGGTTTAAACTGGTCCTTTGCTGGTTTAAGCTGGTCCTTTGCTGGTTTATGCTGGTCCTTTGCTGGTTTATGCTGGTCCTTTGCTGGTTTATGCTGGTCCTTTGCTGGTTTAAGCTGGTCCTTTGCTGGTTTATGCTGGTCCTTTGCCAGCACATGACCAGCATAAACCAGCAAAAGGACCAGCATAAACCAGCAAAACCAGCATAAACCAGCAAAGGACCAGCATAAACCAGCAAAGGACCAGCATAAACCAGCAAAGGACCAGCATAAACCAGCAAAGGACCAGCATAAACCAGCAAAGGACCAGCATAAACCAGCAAAGGACCAGCATAAACCAGCAAAGGACCAGCATAAACCAGCAAAGGACCAGCTTAAACCAGCATCCCAGCATCAAAACATAACCAGCATATGCTGGTTTTTTCAACAGGGTAGTAACACCTTAGAGTAGCTTGTAAATACCATGGTATAAATATGTTAACTACACAGTACCATACAGGGCTCTAAAGTGAAGACAAAAGGAAGGGACAATTATAGGGGCCTACAGTCACTTAGATCCCATGCCCTAGTTTTTGTCTAACAGACGTCCCCTCTGGGTAAATTCACCCCTAATAAATTATTGCATCAATCTGTGGGGTTGAGTTCCATTCCTTTACATGTTCCCGTTCTATTGAGTAATATAAGCCCGTACTGTATATGCTCACATTGTTGAACATGACACATGCAATAGAAAGTATTACAGTATCAGATAATGGAGGAGGTTCACATGATGAGAGTGTGATAAGATGCAGACAGTCCATCGATGCAATCACACTTTCACCTCTGATCACATGCCCAGCATGCCTCGCATTACACTCACTTAACGCAGGGCAAGTGTCAGGGTTAGTGTTGTTGACATGACTCAGACATGACATTTTCCTGCAGTTACATGCAGCATTCCATGCGTGACACGTGCCCTGATCATTAACACACCTAGGAAACGCACATTTTAAATCATTTCACTGCTTTGGTTTGAGTGAATGTTCATTTTGGGCATTTTCCCCTGTAGCTACTGCACTAACCTAACTTTCACTAACGTTTTTTAAAAGTTATATGAATGTTAGGACAAAACGTTCTTAAAGTCATGTTTATGGAATGTTCTTATGGCATTCCCATAACACTGAGGAAAAAACATTCTGAGATCAACAGTCTCAGAACGTCCTTATGAAGTTATTTGTACTTGACGGACATTGTGAAACATTTTTGTAACCTTCAAAGAACATTCTAACATTCTATGACACGACAACGAAACATTTTAATGTTCTTATTAAAATAAACATTCAAATAATGTTATATTATGGGTGAAAATAAGGTTAGTAGAACGTTTTTATAGCCTTTAAATAACGTTAGAATCGCGACAAGAAAACTGGATGTTTCAATGTTTTAGAAACAAACGTTTTTTTATAACCTAAATTTGGAAATTCTACAAAGAAAAACTACAATTTATTAAAAAATGCTCCCAAGTGTTTATTCATCTTTATTTTTCAAACGAAACATCATTTTTTTAGGAATACTGGTGAACAATTTATCTACTAATAATATGGCAGAAACAGTAGAAGTATATAATTCTCCAAATTCAGCCAATCCTTTTTTTTTTCTTCATCAAGTCACAAAAATGTCTGTTCATATATTAATGTAAATTTATGATTTAAGACGATACCCACAAAAAGTTCAACCACGTTTGTTTTAAGATTAAGCAACAAATCACTTTTATGGTGAAGAGTAAATAATATTCTGCTTTGTATGAATTTAAAAATGTAATATTCAACACAACAGCCCATAAACCATACTGCAATCTGTATGAAAAAGAAGTGTGCTTAATTGTATCAAATACACACTAGTGTGCTTCAAATCTTAAAAGTATATTTGAAAAAAAACTGTACTTGCAGATAATACAATATTAATGAAATAAAAGACCACTTAAGTGTACTTAAAAAGAGACACTTTTATGACTATGTTTAAAAAGAGCAATTTGTAATTCTGTCAAATAAAAGTTTGACCAACATA